CGATTTTCACTTCGGGAAAACAAAACTCTCACATAGCACTAAGGTAAGTATAGTGATTAGTCCATTTCTTGAAGAAGTTTGGAACTGTGAACCATCATAGTACGCTCAATGGTATAACTGTACAAACAACTGATATGAACACACCATGTAGCAGGTCGTGATAAAATTGGAACAAAATACAGTAATACCTACTCACATAAAAAAAAATTCTAACAACATTTTTACGAGTATTTTTTAAATTATAAATTTTGGATACTATTCATATATAATGTGCTTTATTAATAATACACTCAACCAAGTGTTTGCTCAACCCACTGGTTGTACAGTATGCTATTATTTTTAAATAGTGACCTACGAGTGGACATAATATTTATTGGGTTCCATTTATATTGAATAAAGGAAAAAAATATAGGAAAATTTATATATTATAGTTTAAAAGAGATTCTCTCTGACTCTGCATTTATAACAACTATGTTACCATAATTTTTCAAATAAAAACATTTAAATATCCCTCACGGGATATATTACGGTACTATATACTTTTAAGGGAATTTTCCATTATTTGTCGACATATAGTTGACATAATCTTAGCTGTAAGTTAACATTTAAGCCTATTAACTCACTATAATGTACGAATCAGCTTAAGTATAAGTTGTTGGGCTTCGAATTAAAGTATACGTGTACATAATATAATATGAATTGGTATGACAGAAGTTGTTTAATAGATATAGATGATATTGAAGATTTCTTAATCTTCAATATCGATTAAGAAATTCGATTTTGGGTACATGTTAAATTGACACTCAGTTTCAAAGTTAAACTGAGCTTATAAATGGAGTCTTCAAAGCGACATTTTTGATATATGGATTTTTACTGTTTCTTAGATGAGACATCAAGTTTTGTAAATTATGCTATTGCTAAAATCATTAATATATATAACTATTATTATAACACAATAATTTAGATATTATTTTTTATATTATTTCACAATCGCATATGACTTCATTTGAATATCAGTGAAATTGAATTATTTTTAAATAAATATTCTCTTTAACTTGTTTAGGGATTTGGACCATATGACTTAAGTCATTAAGTAAACATTTATTCGCGAAGGTGCGAGTTCGCGTCTTGGCTTGATGTGCCCAATTACTTGGGAGCATAAAATTTATTCCGTCAAAGCTCAAATCTTAGCGCACTTTTTGCTATCTCCATAGCAGGCTATCTTCTGCTGAAACTTATTAACTTCAGTAATTTCACTCACTAAATGTGGTCATCGGTTTTATTTTCTTGTTGGTTTCTTGTCATTCCAACGGCATCATAATTTTATTTTTTCGTCTTCATCTGCCGGTTCGGCTCGGTTCTTATTTACGCTTGTATAACTTTTTGATTCGAAATGCAAATTGCTTTTAAACGATTTTGTGCTTCCATGACACGAGATTTTTTGTGGTATCTGCAGTTTTTGTTTATGTTTAGCTGCTTTGCCATGAATTCGGAAAGTACGAAACTTTCGCTTTTCTTTCTGTCAGTATCATGTGCCATCTTATCTGAATTTTTCTCGCTTCGAACATTTCTTTTATTTTGGCTTATTAACGATGCTGTGTCTTCTCTTTTTTTCTCTGAATTCTTAATTTGCATAATAGTTGCTGTTAATATACAACGCCAATAAAAATGTACCAATTTAGTCGGTATCTATAATGTATTCCAATAGAGAACACTAATATTTGGTATTTATTTAGATTTTCTTTATAAATGAAGTGATAAGAACTAAGTAAGAAGATGAAAAGAAGTTCATTCAAAAAAAATAAATGTGTTTCTTAATTTAGTAATGAAACTGAAATGAAATGAAAAATTAGTAAAATTTTCTTATTATTATTCATTTAAATTATTTTCATAGTATTCGTTTATTTATTTATATTATTTAGAAGTCATGCATTTAAAACTAATAGGTTATGCTTAAGTATACTGTAAAATTTAGTGTATTTAGTGTGATATATACAAGTTTTTGCTTATTAGCATATAATTGACAATAGCTTGGTCATAACTTAATAAATGTTAATTTTGTAAGATATGTTCAAGAATTTAAGGATTATTCAAATACAATACATAATTTCTATAACTTTATAACAAAATCCATTGGATCAAAAGCATGATGTAGGTGACAAATTTAAATCACCTAAAATTGAAATTATACGTTCAGGAAATTTTCTATAACTTCACAACAAAATCCATTGGAACAAAACGCATGATGATAAATTAGGTAGGTGTTAAATTTAAATCACCTTAAACTAAAATTATACGTCCAGAAACAAAGCTAAAACAAAACATGCTATGTCTAAACCACTTATATTCTACATCTATATCTTCTATACATGATATGAAAGAAACTCAGTAATTATACATGATCAGCGCTTTTCATTCCTCCAGACAACATATTACATATACAGTAAATTTTGAAGTATACAATGGTCTTTCGATAGTTACTTGTGGAGTTTTTCTATTTTAGACATGACAATTTAATTCTTTTAGCTATCGACTAAGAGAAAAATGAACATTAAATTCAATAGAGAGATTTCGAAAAGTAGTGAACTACAACAACAAAAACTATTTAAATTAATTGATTTTTTAGCTGATCGTACTGCTGTTTGAAGTATTGCCAAATACCCATCATCAGTGGTCTTAGAATTATTTCTTGTATTTATTTATTTGTAAATAATTTTTTGAGAGTGCAAATACCAAGGGTTGAACTCGAACCCTGCCAAATTTTTGAAGCTCAGAGTCAGTGTTCATTAAATTATTTACGAAATTATTTACGAAAACTGACAGGCTTACCAAGACCGAATCTCAGAATGGTTACAGGTTCCTCGGGGAGGTGTACATATCTGAGCTTAATTATTACTTAGTCTGATGAAGTGATAAAGAATAATCCAGTCAAGGCGTAGAGAAGGGTTATACACTGATTTAACTAGCCTCGACATAATAATTCATTTCTTATAATTAAATTTTTTTTTCTACATATATATGTTATTTCTTTTGGTCAATTAGTAAAAATATTTAAATTAAGTAAAATTAGTTTATTATTTTATGGCCTAGATGGTATAACTTCTTTCAGTTATTTCCAATTGACTGCTTCAGCAAATGTTTTATTTACTTGCTCTTAGTCTACTATAGTTTTTACGAGGGGCAATATTTTTTAATATAATTTTATAAGCAGTCTTTAAAATTTTTACATTTTTTATTATTTCCAGTCATAAATTCTTTTATTGCGGGAAGTATAATAAAGCAAAAGCTTGAAGATGTTTATTGTAATCTATTATAAAGATAAAATAGACAAATTACTGAGTTGTAAGTAATGCATTCAGATTCCCTTAAGCATAACGAAATTTCTATTGTCCGTGATTAAGTTTCAACGAAAGTAATTTATAAAATAATTTTTGGACAATGTCCAAAACTATAAATTTAAGTTTTTAGATGAGTAATAAAAAATAAAGTCTGAATAGCTGAAATTATATTGATGTTAAAACAAATAAAAATAAAGAGATATTTGGTTAAGTGGATATTGGGACTGTGGCTAGATTTTATTCAGAGTAATGACAATTGGAGATATGATTTTGATTGGATTATCGGGATGTTTTTGAGTACAGATATTGGTTATATATTCCGAAACGAATTGCCAATAATCTATTTATTTATAATATACAGATATTCAAAATATTAGTTAGATTTCTACCAATTTTCATTTAAGGAATACCACAGGGCATCGAACCGAATTTTTTCCGTTCCGGTTCTAGACAAAAAAATATATCGGTTCGGTTCCGGTTTTCGTTCCAGCAAAAATAACGGTTTTTTCCGGTTTTCAGTTTGGTTCCGGTACGATGTCCTGGAATACCAATCATAGTGTTACTATATAGTACCAGTACATTACACTTCAGTTCAATTGAGTAATTGTTTTCACATCACCTTAGGTTTGTCCAATTTTTGTTAAATCTAATGTTGAAAATGATTACTGTTAAGTTTACACTTTATTTAAATAAAATATATATTTTGAATAATAAAGTCAATATTACTATTGTACCTATGTCTTAAGAGAAAAGGTAATGGGCAATATGACGGGGGCTTACAAAAAAAAGTCAAAAAAAGTTGAAAGTAGTAAGCTGAATATTTACTGTAGATAAACGGTCTATCAGTATGTGAATCAACTGCAATATCACAGTGAATCGAACTTGTAAGTTATTAGTTTTGATGACAGAAAATGAACTGTGAATGTTGGCTGATGGGTTTTGTGCAGTACCTAAAATCGTGAAGAGATACTGCATGATTGCAAACTTGCAACAGTTTCTCTAATAAATAAGCGAACATTCAAAACTCTAAATTGCCCAAAGTTGCGAAATTGTACAAAAACCTTATTTGGTTTTGGCAAAAATGAAATTCCAGTGCTTGGTGAACTTTGCGTAGATATCAAATGTGGCGGAAAAGAAAGGGAAGTAGTAATCGTTGTCGTGGATGTCGAAAACTGTAACAATTTATTCGGTTTCGATTTATTTAAAGAATTCGGGTTTGAGATTCAACAAATTTGTAACATTACTGAAAGTGAATCACACAGAATTAGCGAGCTGTGTAAGAAATATGGTGATATTTTTGAACCAGCTCTTGGCACAATAAAAAACTTTAAGGTCAGTATTTTTTTAAAGCCAAATGCACATCCGAAATTTTACAAAAGCCGACAAATTCCATTTTCGCAAATGTCACTTTTCAAGAAAGAAGTCGATCGATTGACAAATGCGGGTATTTGGAAACCTGTGAAGTTTTCCCAATGGGCTTCGCCTATTGTACTAGCGCCAAAAGCTGATGGTTCCATATGAATTTGTGGGGATTTTAAACAAGCAGTCAATGCGCAAATTGACATTGAACAATATCCTTTGCCCATACGCGAAAGTCTTTTCCATAAAATTAATTGCGGTCAACATTTTACAAAAATCGACCTTAAGGATGCGTATTTACAAATGGAACTCGACGATGAAGCAAAAACAATAATGGTTGTCAACACTCCACTTGGTTTATTCCAATACCAACGTTTACCGTTTGGGATTGCAAGCGCTCCAGCTATATTCCAAAGATATCTTGAGCAGTTACTTCAAGGCGTAGAAGGTTGTGGAAATTATCTCGATGACATCATCATCTCCGCACCTACATTTCAACAACACATCAGCCGCCTAGAACAAGTACTTCGTATTTTGCAACAAAATGGTATCAGGTGCAAGCAAGAAAAATGTTTCTTTCTGCGAGATAAAATCGAATATCTCGGGCGTCAAATTAGTGCAAAAGGTATATTGCCAGATGAGTCGGGACTAAAAGCAGTAAAAAACCTGCAGCCGCCTAAAGATCTAAAGCAAGCAGAAGCATTCATGGGTAAGGTAAACTACTACCATAATTTTATACCTAATTTTTCGCAATTATCCGCTCCAATCAACATGCTGCGCCGAAAAAATGTAAAATTCACATGGGGTACAGCACAACAACAAGCATTTATAGCTCTTAAAACGCATATTCTCAATGCAGCGCAATTAGCACATTATCAGGAAGATTTACCGTTGGTTCTAGCTACAGATGCCTCCTCCTATGGCATAGGAGTCGTGCTCTCGCATACGTACGTTGACGGTCTAGAAAGGCCTATTGCTTTTGCATCTAAAACTCTCGACATTCATCAACGACGATATAGTCAGATAGAGAAGGAAGGGCTAGCTATCGTTTTTGGAGTCAAGCGTTTCCATCAATATTTATACGGAAGAAGATTCACCTTGGTTACTGACCACAAACCTCTTGTTAGCATTTTTAATCCAATTCATCAGTTGCCGTCGATGACGTCACATCGTTTACAGCGATGGGCTATTATACTAATGGCTTATCAGTATGATGTTCGGTATCGTAAAACTACTGAGCATGGAAATGCCGATGCTTTATCTCGTTTACCTGTTGGTGAAGATAAAACTTTTGATCATGAAGAATCCTGTTTCAACATCAATGAACTTAACACACCTATCGACGCTGAAATAATTCGTCAGCATGCCAAAAATGACCCAATTCTTCGCCGAGTTTATTTTCTCGTTACAAACGGTTGGCCTGAAAAGCTAATGCCTCAAGATGCTGATCTTCGATCATTTTTCAATCATCGCTTTGCTTTAATACTAAACAACAATTTGCTTTGCCTCCAGACGGAGTACAACCGGGTTGTCATTCCAGCCTCCCTTAAGCAGAAAATTCTTAAACTTCTTCATGATGGTCATTGGGGAGTATCGAGACAACATGTCTGGTGGACTAATATTGACAAAGACATCGCACAATTAACTGAAAATTGTGATGTGTGCAAAATTGCAAATCCTGTTCACGCACGTGAATACTTAAGCTGGCCTGAAGCTGATCGACCTTGGGAGAGAGTACATATCGACTTTGCTGGTCCATTTTGTAATTCAATGTGGCTAATTTGTGTCGACGCTTTCTCACAATTTCCGTTCGTTGTACAACTATCTACAACAACAACGGTTGACACCATATCAGCATTGTCTTCTATATTTTCTCTGGAAGGTATACCAGAAACCATCGTAAGTGACAATGGTCCGCAATTTACAGCTGAAGCATTCAAACATTTTTGCTCAAAACTTGGCATCAAACATATAACAACAGCGCCGTTTCATCCAGCCTCAAACGGGTTAGCCGAACGATTCGTCAGATCTTTTAAAACTGCTGTTCAGAAAAACATTGACGATGGATTGTCTCTCAAATTCGCTGTATCAAAATATCTTGCAACATATCGTGCAATGCCGAATGCTGAGGGTAAATCACCTGCAGAACTTTTACATGGAAGGCCTGTTCGTACCTTGTTGAGTCAACTGTTTGAATCGCCTAGAAAGCACCTTGAAGCTTCGAAACGGAAAATGAAATTTAGTCTAAAGCAACCCGTCTTCGCTCGAAACTACGCAAGAGGGGAAAAATGGATAAAAGGAGTTATTGTGAAACAACTTGGTAAAATGGTTTACCGAGTGAACACATCTTTTGGTTACATCAAACGTCATGTTAATCAGCTTAAAACTAGAAGTAGCTCTGACCTCTCTTCACAACCAATTTTTGAATTCACTCCAAATTTCATCAATGCCACACCGCCTTCATCTAGCCAATCAACATTAATGCCTAGTGAAGAACGTTCTACCGAAGTAGTTCAACTTCGAAAAAGTGGTCGTATTCGGAAGGTTATTAATCGATTTGAATCCGACGATTTCAGGAAAACTTGAACTTTGTCAAAAATTAAGGGCGGAGAAAGTGTTATAATCTAGTATGTTTTGCATTAGTTTAAACAATCTTAAATAATGAAATGTAAACAAAATTTAGTTAAATATAAACTGTCAATCTTGTCGGTTGTATTTACTTCAGTTACATTATTGTACTTTAACCATTTCTGAACCTCATTGAATGCATCAATCTCAAATATTGTCTCAGTAAACAATATATGCATATTTTACACAGTTTGCAGTCATCATCATTGATGTACAAGTACATGGGTTCAATTCGTAGAGGTTTTTAGCAATTTAAGCCTCTCTTCTTTAAGGAATTATAAAGGTCTTTTTCTGAAGATGATATATTCTGTATGAACTCGAAGCTTATTTAAGTGCTTGACTCAATTATTTTAGCAAATAAAGTAAGAAACTTTTATTTTCTTTTTTTATATAAATTTTTCATTTTCAGCAACAATGGATTTTTATAAAAATTGCTGAATAATCAAGAAACAAAAAGCAAAGTATGTTGGTTTTACTTTGTTTAAATAGGAAAACTAATGTATAAAAGAGTTGAATGGTAAGGAGGGGAAAATATAGAGTGGAATGGGAGGTGGTGAATGTGTGTGTCAAACAAAATGATAGCAATTTGTCTCAAAGTGCTGGAAAACAATCGCCATACGAGTCGTGCGTTTGCGATGTAAAGTAGTTGCAGATACTGAGACTGTTACTAAGATAAAAATAAAGAAGAAGCAGTACTATAATTGGGATTTCTTATAAAGTTATTGTAATAGGGTTTACATTGGAAATAGTATCTAAGCAAAATAAAGACGTTTTATGACTACTGACCAACTGACCGTGAAAATCGAAAATGCTGCCACTCAAGAGGAAAATTAAGTTTGATTGAAACATTTCTTTGCTTCAATCACTTTGCTTCAATACAAACATAAATAATGTGATATAAATATATTTTTCAATTTAAAATTGTCACAAATTCTCTACAATTGGTTAGTAATGTTAAAAAGAAATGTACTCCATTTTCCGATATAAAATCGTGAAAAAATTGTCCAGTACTTTTAGTTGTCAATTGTTTTAAAATCGGTCAACAACGAGGCTCAAAACACTTAAGTTCCATTTTTTGTTTTATAATTCGGAATAATTTAATTTAAATAAAAATATTTTATTTTTTTTTAATTATTTAAATAAAAATCTGGTTATGTTAAGTACATTTTCATATTTCATATGCGGTGTTTTTATGTTAAGTGGCGCAGTGGCTACTTTAGCAAACTCAAGACATACGGAAGATTGCCTCACGAATTCGCTAGAGAAATCAATTTACTGTCGCGGTTCGCGTGCTATAAAAAATGTCATACAAAATCTGAGTAAAACCGACAAACCGATTGTCATTTTTCGTGGGTTGGAGATTGTGACTTCTAGGGAATATGAGAATGATACATTTGAAGCACACACAAATTCTTCAAGTGATTCTTTTCTGGAACGTTTTTCCGACTATTTACGCACTCATGAATTAAATATAAGATTTGCTGATTTGTTGGCGGATGAAAGTGAACACCATTTGAAACGTGATTTGAGGCGGAACGACTTCAAACTTGGCGTCAATGTTGAAGGTGGGTTTTCAATTGAGTGTGCATGCCAGTTCCAGTATTTTTCTTCTTTTTCTGCTTAAATGTCAATTATTGCCATGCATTTGATTGCATTCAGTAATTTGCATTAGTAAGAGCGTACATTTTAATATTTTCTACTGTGTATTTTATTTGGTTTAGTGTTTCCCAGATTTGCATAAAATTGTTATTTTTATTCATTAGAAGCAAAAAAGTGAAATTTATACTATAATAAAAATTAAATTAAATTTTAAAGACAAATTAATTCACTTCCTACTACCATTTATTTAATATGAAAGAGTGTGAGATCATGGGAATTAAGCTGAAGTGATTAAAAATGATATTTGATTTTACTTTAAATCTTGGTATTTGGACATTTAATTTATAACTACGATAGTTTATTATAACAAAAAAGAAATATTGTTTTGCCTCAATATGATAAAAAGGTGAAACAAAAAATTTATTACTATTTAGAGAGAAATATGGGTAGTGAAAAATCGAAACTAGTATGCCTAAACATGTTTAATTTAACGAGAAGAAATATCCTGAAAGGTATGTATTTATTTAAATACTAGTTTCGATTTTTCACTACCCATATTTCTCTCTAAATAGTAATAAATTATAATAAATGATATAATAAATGATAGGTCTTAAGATATATATAGTTCTATAGAACTATAGAGAAAAATATGGGCTGTGAGTATTCGAAACTAAACTACATTTTGTTGAGAAAAAATATCCTGATGGATATATATTTAAAGAACGATAGTTTATATTTAAAAAAACTTTATTTTTATTTGACTATAGTCCAAAAGTGAATTAAAAATTTAGTTACTTTTTTAAAAAAAAAACCGTTTCGTAGAATTTTTTTTACTCTTTATTCAATTTATATACACAAGTATGTCGATACATAACATTAACATATACTCAACATATAACATATACTAACTGACTAAACACAAATATATAAAATTATATTATGGCATCCTAACGTTTTGTGGATAAAGACGTTTTATTTCTTCATATAGTCTTTTTCATATAGTCTAGCCTTGTTTTGCATGACTCTCTGGACTCATAACTCTGAATATATATTACTCAAAATTGAGTATTATTGAAATTTTTCTAATAATAAAACAAATTTAATTGGCTGCAATATTTAATAAATTCAATTAATTTTATTGACATAAAAACTTAATCAAACAGTCATCTAAGAGTGGCAATGATAAAAATTTAAATCGATTACTTATTTATGTGAGATAATACTTTAGTGGCCGATGCAGAAACTGACCGATAGGGATTATTTTGGAATTATTTCAAAAGAATAAATAAGATCTCGACGTGATTTAGTAAACACTTATATGTCGATCATTGCTGTGGAAGATTAAGATATACAAACCTATAGAAATATTTCATATTAATCAGGGAGAGGGTAGTGAGAATTTTTCGGGATACATACATTTTTCGGGATATTTTGTTTGAAGAAAATCTTAAGGGTACTTTTTAAAATGTGAAAGAAACCACTCTTCTATAAAAATGAGGTGTGGCTAGAAAAAGTTCTGTTTTGTCCAGTACATTAATGTGAATTGTAGTTTCAAAATTTTCTTTCAAGTATCATATTTAGCCTTGATAGCTAAATATAGGTAATAGTCTATTATACTTCCTATATCTTAACGTGACAACAAAGTTAACACCTTAGATCATCTAAGCAATGTCAATAAATCTTATTCTGTTTGATGAAATTACACTATATATTATTATATTATTGAAATTATATAAATTTGCAGTATATTTGAATCAAATTTATAGTGTCGAAAGAAGACTATGTTCTTAAATCAAATAAATCAGTCAAAATAAATTTGCATCATATCAATCTTCAAGGTAATTAATACTTCCAGCTCTTGGATTATTTATTCTAATAGTTCCACCAATGACATTAAGTTCTGTAAGCTTTTAGTTCTACACTATATTTTAATTGTTCATGAATCTTATAAGGACTAAAATCTTTTGGGTAAATTTTAAATAAAATTTTGAACTCAAAATTTAGATTCTATTTTTTCAAAATAAATACTTTTTTTGTACTTCATGAGAAAATATTACTTACTTTCAATATTTGTAACTCTTTTCCATTGCAGAAGCACGTAAAAAAGACAAAGGACAAGGAATTATACTCGCTATGGGTGTTATGTTTGCAAAGATGATGGCTGTGATGGGTCTAGGTGGGATAGGTGCCTTGGCTATGAAAGCACTTGGTGTGGCGTTGGCCGCACTTATGATGGCAGGAATTATTGGTGTGAAGTCTTTAACTCAACATGGAAATGAGTCCAGTCACAGCGTGCAGTACGTTAATGCAGATGGACATCATCACAGTAAAAGACGCAGACGTAGTGTCATTACGCAAAAATCACTAGATGAGCTGCAGCTGCCATACAACGGTTGGGTAAAAGCTGTAGACAGACATTTACTTTAAAGTAAATTCGAAGTACATTTAAAGTATTATGAAGTGAGATTAATTTAATTATATATTTTATATGATCTTATTATATTTACTTATTAATTTATAATAAAAATTAACTATTATATAGTCGATTATACAATATATTTATTTTACGTAGTATTAATGCATTTTAAAATATATTTTATGTTTATCACATGCCTGTGAGTATTTTTAGTTATACAAAATAAAAATATCGAATAAATTTCGTTACATACTTCAGTTAGGTTGTGGGTCCTCAAGGAATTTCTTACCAACAAAATACTTTGGCCCAGTTTTTTCAAGCACTTTTGCACATACCATGTGTAAGACATGCTGACTTTGGTTTACACATGGCCTGAAGGTATTTTTTTTTTCGCATGTTAACAACAGTTTTATTACCGCAACTTCAGCTTAAACACTGCATTCCGACACAACTACGTTTGGCCGTCAGCTTTGAAGATGAAGATACCGTTCATTGCAAGCGGAAGGTATGCACATACTCTCGTACATAACCTCAGTGTATCTGCTTCATATACGTCGATGCTTGTACATAAATAAGCAAATTGACATCTTTTCTGGTTTGACCAGAATATCTCAGCGTTCAGTGGACATGTCGTCCATATATCGATTTATTTGTACGTTTTTTTATCTGTCGCTCTTTATGAAATCGGTGAAAGTTTTCTCCGGTGCGTTTATATATATTTTTTCATTTTATTTCGGAATTTATATTTTCTGCTTCTGATAATATTTTCAGTTAATCTTTAAAATATTTTGGAATTTCTTCAACATTTATTTATCTTTTTACGTTGACGGCTTTTGTTTTTGTCATTTTTTCATATAATTTCTTTTCTTTTAGGGTTCATTTGATCATTTCATTAAAGGGAAGCATTAAGTCTTGCATAAATTAATTGAACTCACTTTCACTGTTCTTTGTGGTAAAAAAACATCAAAAGAAAAAACTGAAAAAATATTTCAGAAATTCCAAAAAAATATGTGTTTTTTATTTAAATTTGTAAATAAAATTTAATAGTAAAAATTTTCATTCATATTCATTGCGGAAAGTTAATTTATGCCAAGACAGAGCTGCGCTAATTCAAAAGACATTTAAACAATATTTAAAATATTTTAATCGTATGTGTTTTTATTTTAAGAAAAAAATATTGAAAAATTTATATTAATCAATAGAATTAATTAAAATCTTTTTATGATATGATGTGATATCATTTTACGATATCTTGTTAATTTTATGATAAAATAATATAAAGCTCATTCGTTAAAAATTATCAATCATAGGTTAGAGTCATTCATCGACTTACTTTTATTTTAAATAAATTATAAAGTAATCACAGTAATTAAAATAGAGAAAAAGATGTACTATAGATGATGTCGATGATGTTATAAATCAATTCAGCAAAAATTGACATTGAAAATTAACAAGCTTTTTTTAATATGTATCCTCACAACAATTACTATACTAGATAGACAATTCTTCTTCTTCTTTATTCCATTGCATTCCCAGGTGAACATTGTGCTATAACAAACTTTTTCCAACTGTCACTATTTCTTGCCAGGAATAAACAATTAAACCCAAGATTCCTACATCAAGAAATCGAATTATTACTTAGCGAATGACATTTCATTAATACTCATTATATATAGTAGACGCTTTCAAAAAGTACTTAAAATTGTAAGATAAAATGATTTCTTTGTTAGATACATTACTTTACAACATTGTTAACCAAAAATGATTTCGTTCAGTCCATTATTAAAAAATTGTTTTAGAAACAGTTTCATGAAGATTTTTTTATTTTTAAAAAGTACAGTACCTTCTGCAGAATTTTTAAATAGACATCGGTAACTCATTGTTTAAAATAGGTATTCCAGGCAGGAGAGAAGGAAGCGATGAGAAGGAAACACCAGAACAATATTCAATTAATCTGAAATGTATTGGAATTCAACAAACAAAATTTATTGAAAATGAAATACCAAAACAAAGTTCTTTCCTTTTAAAACGTATACAATTTTGGCTAAAAAAAATATTAAAAAGGATACAACAGGGCAAAGTGCAGTCTATTTAGATATCATGAGAACTTAGCAATCGATTTAAGGAATTAGAAAAAATATTGTGACATATAACATTAGTATTAAATTAATGTATGTCAAGCGGAATATTGAAACCATGAAGCATTTGTATATTATGTATAAACAATTAATTTGTCACATATTATATAGTAACGTTATAATTAATAAAATTGATAAAATTCGTACTTATTATCATGCATCGACGTTTCATATAATTATAACTTCATAATTGTATGTAAAATATACAATTATAAGCCATAAAATGGAAAAACAGTATGGCCTCGACACCTTTTAAGTAACTAAAACTACATACAATGTCTCTCAAAAAAAAATTATCCACTTTTTTACTTTCTCTCTCTCTTTTGAAAGAACGCTGCTAACAAAAAACTATATATTTTTAAGATCACTCTCTCTTGAAAGGACTCTACGTTAATAATTGGTGCACACAAGATATACTATTACTGATTATAACTTATTATTATAACACACTTTGGTGTAATGGATTCTTAAGGCATGCAAATATTTTTGTCTAATTGGGCAGAAACTAGAAAAAATTCATAAAAATCTTAAGACAATGGGGCTACAAATCCACATTGACAACTAACAAATGCGTCCATAAACATTTCTTGACCGAGTTCATTTACCATGTCCATTACAGGCTTTGCTAAAATACTGCATATCTATGCAGGGTTACTAAATACCAACCAGTTAGATCTCCCCATCAATGTACTGGTAGAACTGGTACCAATGTTGTGGTACAAATTCCTAAACATTTTTTACTTATGCTCTTTTTTGACCTTTTAAAATCAAAAAGAAACAGTAATGATTTAAAAAAGGCAATATTAGCATGTTATAAAAATATTTTAAGTATCGTGCGATTCATATAAGTAATTTATAAAATATAAATAAGAAATATAAATACCTTAAAGTCACAGTAATGCAATTCATAATGGCTCCTTGTTGGAATATGAGTTTAATATGAATCATACGTATAGGTATGTGCTATATTGTAAGCTATTCACAAAGTCAGGTATTTGTTTTCTTTACTTATAGATATTAATTCCTACTTCCGTTGGTAATAAAATGAAATTGAGTTCAAGCAAACTTTGAAATGGAAATTTGATGATTTATCAAGTAAGTATTTTACTTCAAATACTTTCTGTCAAATTAACGAAGAAAGTGACAAAAAAAATGTTGATTGTAAAAAATTAAAAATTCCAACATTTTAAAAACATTAAAAAGACTGTTCTCCATTATTTTTAATTTTACTAATCTTAACGATAAATCACAAAAAATGTGCAATTATAATCGGTCAGTGGAATACCAAAAATAGAACTGAGAAATTCGGAAAAGGGAAATTTTAAATGTCAAACACTTTAAATTAAGCATCAAATTTAATCAAATTTTTAACAATTAACTTTGTTTTTGTAGTTTTAAATAAATATTTTGAAGCTAAAAAGAAATTGCATTTGGTGCTACATAATTCTTTCTTTGGTAAGGTACTGACATCTATTACCCGATTACGTTATACCAACGTTCACAGTACACACATTACAACATCGGACGCAATTTGAACGAGTTTGTAAACATCAACGTTTGATGTCAGTTATTTCACTGTTTGATATTTCAAAATAAAGAAAAGTGAATTTTATTACACAATACGTAAGTTGATGGCACACATTTAGTCAACTGTCCGGTATGGCATGGTGTGTTATGGTCCAGTCCAGTTTGGCCGAATCCCTTGATATGAGTTGCTTGATTTCAATGGCCGCTGTTGCCGCTAATTGCTGGTAATAACTTTCCCTTTTCGTTTTATATGATTTGCTGGCAATACGATTGAAGCGTTTTGACTTTGACCGGTTCCAAGCGCACACATTTTTTTCAAATTAAGTTAACATGCTGTGTAATTAAATTATAAAATATGCTTAAAAATTAAAAAAAAAATATATTAACAAAATATCAAGTTGGATGAAAGACGTCAAACAAAATCATAAAAGTCAAAAAACATAGAAATCATAAGTAAAAGGTTTGAGACAACAACAACAAAGCAAAAAAAGAAAGACATGTGAAGTTTAAAAAATTCTTCTCGGAATTTTATTGAGTTACGAATATTAACAAATGCACTCAGGCGTTGATTAATTGACTACTAACTTTGATAAATTAACAAATTACTGACTTGATCTGTTATGGATCATGCAATGATCTGCGCGCTCCATGATCTTCATTTTGTAATGCTGCCAGCCACTTAGCACTGCTGCTTCACAAACCTTTACTGTCGAAAACTGTCGAAATAGTCGAGGAAAGTGATAATACATTTGCTACCAATATGTTGAAGTTTAAGATTTTGGTCCAGCATCATCAATAGAGTATTGGGCGTCAACGAAGTTAGTAAAATTGTTTTTAAATGAAAGTTAAATAAAAACTGTAGTAATTATTAAAGCAAATTATTTCATTTGCATCATTACAAATTTTTGTAAATTTAATGAACTCATGTGAAATAAATTGTATTGAATTGCACTGAAATTTGAAGTCCACATTCTAAATTTCACTTTTTATCAAAAATATTCACACCTCGTTAGCTCCGAGTGTGGAGACTCAGTTACAAATTAATTTTCAACCTAAATACCATAAATTCTTTTCACAATATTTCTTACCCCTCAAAACGCCTGACTGCTAAATTTTTTAATTTTGTGTTGCCAAAATGCGTTAAATCTTTTATGCAAATTGCGAAAAAAAATATTAAAAATGTAAATAAATGAAAAAATATTTATTCAAATTTCTCGATGCTGCCTGCTACTCTTGGCCTCTGCATCAACGCCTTATCTGGACAAAATTATGAAGACTTGTGATTCAAAAATGAAATTGAGAGCGCGACGCGGACTTTTGTAACAAATAATAATAATTAATTTTAA